CTGCAAGAGAGTCAAAACTGGTCTGATCTAAAAAAACCCCAACAAACCAAACAAACAAACAATGAAAAAGCAACTAAACAAGCAAGAAATGTCATGGCTGCTTATTGACAAGCGTGTTAAATTCCCCACAGAGCCAAACCAGACCAACCCTCTTGCATCACGGTGCAAATGTTGACTCCAGCCAGTAGGACTGGCTCGCTTCGTCCAATTAGTGGCTTCCTGAAGAATGAGGAAAAAAAAAATACCAAGAACTATTATGAGTAAGATCCTTATAAAAATATGGATTTAATTGCTCTAATTGCTTCAACAATTAATTGTCCACTGCCCAGTGCAGGCTGTAACTCAAGAGAATTGGAGAAATCAAATTAACAGGTAAATAGTTCCCCTTTTCCTGCATCCTCACATCCCACACAAGTCACTGGGAACTTCAGAAGCTGTCTCCAAACCAGAACAGGAGCAGGAACTCTTGATCCCGTACTCATGTGATTATGTCATTAATGTGACCTGCTACTTCAGGACAATAATGACAGAAGAAAGTGCAGTGGAGTTTATGTGACTCCCCTTCATAGTTCTAGATCTCTTGGACTAAGCTGTCCGTGTGTCTGTCTTGTAACAGAGCAATGGCTGATACAATCGTAGGAGCCACTGATATTTGTAGATTGGTATGTTGCTTAATCCCCTGAACAGCACAGGAAAATGGGGTGATCTCGGATCCCAACGGAACGTTAAGAGAGCTCAGTAACAGCCTTCGCAGTGAGCCAGGGACAGGCCAGAACTCTGCTGGCCAGTTTCAAACTCAGCAGCGTAATTTCTCACCTGGAGTTCAAGCTTTGGTTAGAAAACTGTAAAAAAACAGTTTTGATCTTAAAAACCAGTTGATTTTAATAAGGAAAGACCAGGAAGCCCTCTTCACTGAAAGACAAGAAACAAGATGTACTGAAAGAAGAATATACAGAGAATTTGGAGCAAATTCTGTTAGTAAAATCCATTTGGATGGGGATTCTAATGCTTGAATAATTTCAAATGAGATGGGAATCAGCATTTGGAGAAGAGTGGAAGGAGTGATCTTGCATTTGCTAGAGGGAGGCTGCATAGGCCAGCTCTGCTCTATGAATCATTTCCCAGCTGATCTTGCCTATATTTTCTATGAGCAGAGCTTCTTCCAGGTGGTGAAGACAAATAAACTGTCCCCAAATACTATTTATTCTTGATGGAGCTTGTGAGGAGATCAACAATGACTTTTTGTGGAATTGGGGCTGGGAATACCAGTGGCAACAGTTCTGTGAACTATGAGGAGAGGAAGGGCAGGGATCAGGTGGAAATAGGTTCAGCTGCCCCTGCCTGACAAAGCACATCCTATAGGTATCCTATAGCATAGATGGACCGAGTAGCTGATCGCTGGACACCTGGGCATTGGTGTATTTTCCTGGCCAAAATGGTACGTGTGGTAGCCCTGGAAAAGCACTTCCACATTCTGGCCATAGCGTCTTCTCTTAATTAAAGTTAAAACCAAGCGTGTCGCACCTGAAATGCCAAAGGTAACATTCTCCATGAACCTGGCACTGGAATGTATTTTGTCTTGCAAATCAGCCTCAGTTTCTCCTTGGGCTCCCTGTCCCAGAAGCAAAGCTGGTGTCTGCCTCCCTGAGACTGCCAGCCAAGGCGGCAGCGGGGACACGGCCTCCCTGGGCTGGACTGAATCCACCAGGTCACTTCACAGAGGCAGCTAATAGGTAAAAATAGGTGCCTGGAGATAATAACATATTGCATCTTATTACCAATTCCCTGAGAAAGCCAACAGCCCTCTGTCTTTCCTCTCAAAAGGATGCTTTATTATAATTACATATCACTTTATTAGGCAGCTGAAGCAAAGAGCACATTTGATGCTAATGAAGTGCTGCTGTGGTTGAGTCTGTCACTATTTTTGGACCTGCACATCTCCAGCACTTGCGATCGGGTGCGTGAGGCTTTGGATGTCTCTAGCTTCTTCTGTGGGGGATGCTCAGTGAAAAAGCAGTGACTCAGCTAGCCAGGACTGCAGAAATGTTTACATGCTCAGAATGAGAAAAGCTGTGGGACAGCGAGAACGCACACAAAAGCTCTTTATGTGGTGGAAGTATTTTTCAGGTAGTGGACGGTATTATCTAGATTGAAAAATCCTTCTGAATATACACTTTGTTTCTGTGTTGGTCATCAAATTAAAACCAAACCAGTCCGTGTTTTTCCTCTTTTCCATCCTCTACCCCAGAGCATTTCAGAAAAAAAAATCCAGTTTTCACACAACTCAAGGAAAATATTTTAGAGGTTAAGAGAGAGACAAATCACAGCTGTCAACCAGCTGCCTTTCCTTATGAAAGATGAGGCTGTTGCTGTCTCCATTTCCTGCAGCAATGCCCGAGGAGCTGCTCGGCACCGCAAAGACATGATTTGGTATTAAAATTTGACTTAGCAGCTAGCGCCCCCAGAAGCAGGCCTGCTCCCACCCCGCTTTGTGCCGACACCAACATTCATCTGGTCCCACAGTGACTCAGTTCAGGGATCTGAACCAGCACAGAAATATTAATTCCTCCCTCTCTTTCTCTCTCCACACCTTGCAGGGTGGTGCTACTGGTCACCATCTAGTCAGGCAGGTGACAGGACCGGGGCGAGGGAGGCAATGGCAGCACGTGAGGCCATTTCTCCACTCCAGGACCTATGAGACACCAGAGCTGCATTGCCAAATCGCTTCCTGACAGCGTGCTGGAGGACAGAGCCTCCCTGTTCAGTAAACAAGGTTAATGGTTCTAAGCATCATTTCATGTCTTCTCATAAATCAGTGAGGAAATGTGTCAGAGTAATCAATAATTATAGAAATACCATTGTATCTAAACGTCTAGTTATCCTCAGACTAGCCCTGCTTTGTTACTGCAACTTCCCCATTCCTTAGGGGAAGGGAATGACTGAAGCACTACCACAGCTTAAGCACTCTTAGACTGCAATGGTGCGACCAGATCTGTTTGCAGACCTTGCCATACCACCTACTGCTACAAACTATTTTGATCAAGAGGTCTACTTGCTCTTTTTGGACTTTTTCCATTTAAACGTTCCCAGACATGCAGATGTGGTGCTTGGGGACATGGTTTAGTGGTGGACTTGGCAGCATTAGGTTTATGGTTGGACTCGATAACCTTAAGGCTCTTTTCCAACCTAAATGATTCCACAATATAATTTTTTTACTTTAACTCAGCTTTCTGAGCATATTTGGTTAAGATCTTTCTTTGGTAGTATCAGTGATCTTATCTTAGCACTGGCAGCGAGATGCGTGCCACACTTTGCTATCTTTTTTGAGTTGATTTACGTCAACAGACCAGTCCCACCACTGCAGTAAAATCTCACAGCAATTCAAGAAACCTCTGACTATACCCATGATAGACCAAACCACAAACAACAGAAGATGTAACTCATCACAGACACAGTTCTGATGACAGGGAAAAAACAAGGAACAGCTTCCTGGAGGACTAGAGGGCAGAAGCAGCTCTGCATTTGGACGAAGCTTGCTCACAGGCTCCCTCTG